AGCGCGCCTTGTACCAGAGCTGCTGCAGCAGCGGATGGTTGGCCGACTCGAAGCTGTGGCTCTCGAGGATGCTGTACAACTCAGGGTAGATGCCCTGGTGGAAGGCCACGAGCGCTCGCGCCTTCAGGAGGCTCTCGTTGCCACGTAGCAGGTCGCTCTGGGGCAGGGACCACAGGAACCGGGCCAGGCGGTCCAGGTTGCCCCCCTGCTGCAAAGCCTCGCACACGCAGGCGACATGGTCCGGCGAGAAGGCCAGCGGGGGCTGCGCGGAGGCTGGGTGCTGGTGCCTGCCCAGAAGTTCCGAGTGGAGTTGTACCTGATCTGCCGCTCCGGCCGCCGCTGCCCCTTCCTCCCGGCTTACCTTGGAGGCAGCCGCGGCGTCCCCCGGCTCCAGAGGGAAAGGGGCTGGAGCCGGGGGGCTCAGCCCAGCCGCCGCGCCCCCCGCCACTTCTCGGTGCGCCTCCTGTCCTTCCGAGGCGCTTTCCATCCCATTCTCCTGCTTGATGTCCGCCGCACTTGCAATCTGCCCGGTGGGGGAGGAAGAGGACATTTTTTGTTGTTTATTTTCCTCCCTCCCTCACTCCCTCACACTCTTTTCCTCTTTCTTTCCCCCTCTCTTACTCCTCCTTCTTCGACTCCCTCCCCCCTCCCCCCTCCGGAAAGCCCACTCCCTCCCTCCCGGTTTCGGCTGGATCTGGCCGATCAGGTTTCCCCCAGGCCACGCAGTCACCATTAAGATAGCTGCTAGAGCAAAGTAGTGTAAACGGATAGCTGCTTTCTGCTGTTCCCCCAACGTGACTCCTCCGGCTGCTGCATACTATATGGCACTGGCCGCCCGGCCGGCCCGGCCGCGCCACCCCATTGGCTATTTCGCATTCAGAGGGAGGAGGAGACACTGTTTCTATCCCTGTCGATCACCCGCCTCCCACTCCACCCCTTGCCTTTCCCTCTCTCCCTGACCCCCAGGCACCTATACCTGCCGGAAAACACCGACATTCTTTTCTGGCCATGCTTTTGAATGGGCAGTTACCTAGTGTCGCCTGCAAACTGGACAGCCCTTACAAAGAAAGGCCCTGCGATTCCCAAAGGAATATTAATCATGTTCCCTTAAGGTCTGAACAGCTAAATTTTTAACAAAGAGATCACCCTCAGTATGTAGATGACAAAACTTCAGAGACTAATTCCGAAGTTTCCCAGCACCTCTCTCCTCTCCTCCCCCACTTTGGGATGTCTTTATTAAGGATGTGTATTCAAAAGGGTCAAGAACACTATTAAGCAATGTCCTGAGAGAGAAGCCTTGGTAGTAATGGAAATTCCGGAGGGGGGAACTGCTTGAAAACTTTGAAATAAGCAGTGTGTATAACCCACTGAGATGACAAAAGCAAGAAACATTAAAAAAAGAGAAAAAAAAAAGTGTTACCAGAATGCTTGGAAATCCTTACTGAGATGAACCCCAATACAAATAAGCATATATAAAATGAAACTGGATGGTTATCCTGGTTAAGTAGTGTGGAAGAGAACTAAGCATTAAGTTATAATGGTCTTTCCAACACTAGTCTACCTACCTTAGAAATACTCCAAATACTTGCACCAATAGGTCCTCCCTCCCCCAGTGTGGTGCTAGGATGGATAGATAGTTTCTCTTCGAAGGTGACAGGTCTAGGAAGAACACCATGTCTATATGCAGGCATCTTGAAAGTCAGTACAAGATCAGCAGCCCTTGCCATACACAGACAAATGGAACACTGGTCTCAGGGTTTAAGGCTGAAGTATGGGGCGGGATGTATTGCTGTCATCGGTTGGGGATCTTTCCTTCATGGCTTGCATGAAGTCTTAACCCGGAAAGGATGAGTCTGTCTCTACCTCTGTGGCTACTGTGGGTCAGCTGGATTTGCCTGTGGGTGCTCCTTCTCAACATTCTAATAGTTAAAATGCCTTCCCCGCTAGCCTCTACTTCAGGGTGGTTTTGTGTTGTTTCTTCTTCCCAGTTGGTCATAACTGCCTGATTCAGCGTATTGTAAAGCAGCTGTTTGGGTCACCTGCTGTCACATTAATTTGGTAAGGTTTTCATTTTTTGCTACCAGACTGCATTTTATTGTTAGTTAGCCAAGATATTTGATACAGAACCTGATCTTTCTATTAAAATATTTATTTATTTGTGTGTGTGTTTGTGTGTGTGTGTGCATGCACATGCTAGCCGTGATACTTGTGTGGAGATCAGAGGATCACTTTTAGGAGTTGGTTCTCTGATTTTCTTCTTCCACCAAATGGATACTGGGGATTGAACTCAGGTGGTCAGGACTGGCAAGTGCCTTTACCAATTCGGCCATCTCACTAGCCTTTTCTCTCTCTCTCTCTCTCTCTCTCTCTCTCTCTCTCTCTCTCAAAAACAGTATTTTAATGTGATGAAACCAGAAGTGACATTTTTGGTAAATAGCTATCAAGTTCAGGATAATATCTGAGTTTCAAAACTTTCTTGCTTTTTTTTTTTTGCACTTAAATATATTTTGTTTTTCGAGACAGGCTTTCTCTGTGTAGCTTTGTAGGCTAGGCAGGCCTCGAACACACAGAGATCCACCTGCCTCTGCCTCCTGAGTGCTGGGGTTAAAGACATGCACCACCACTGCCTGGCTTAAATATAATTTTTATTTTGAAATAATATTGATTTACTGAGAAGTCACAAAAATAGTAAAGAGCATTTCTACTTATCCTTCACATGCTTGCCCTTAATACTGACCCCTTATAGGGGGTACATGCGTATGAGCAAATTAACATTTCATATTATATACAATAATTAATTAATTCCAGATTTTATTATTTGGATTTCATTTATTTTCTACTATTTTCTCCTTTGCAGCCCATTTTAGATGGCCATATTGCATTTGGTTTCTTTTTTTTAATTTTAAAAGGATATTTATCAGAGCAAAGTAGATAAGAAGCAGTGTGGTTTCATGGAAAAGATGCATACTTAAGGTTCAGCTAGCTGGACTTAGGTTTCGTCCTGGCTCTGCCATCTACTTGAGTATAAAAAGTAGAGAAGGTTATGGTAATGATCAGATAAGTCATTTCAAAAAGAACTTGACATACAATCTTCTGTAAATTATTGTTATCTTCCTACTGATAATGCAAAGCAGGAGACTTTTCATTTCATAGACCTAAAATTCCTTTGGCCAGCTTATGGCATCATAGGAGTTGGCTTTAGAACTATTATCAGTCAGATATAGTGCATGACTTAGAAAAGAACATATTTGGCTCTTGCATGTCTTCTATGTATTGTCTCCATTGTACCAAGTACATCGGGTTATACATAGCACTGGTGGCCCTGTCAGGTCTACAATAGTGTATCTATGGAAACCATGGACCTTTGGGTTGTAGGACCAGGAATCTTTGGGTTTCTTGAGCATGCTGAGCTTCAGAGCATAATCCTGCCATAATTCCTGGTAGATTCAAATGTGGCCAGTGACATAGAAACGGAACACTAGATTTTGTGTCTAGTTTATCTTGGAGCACGGTTGCACCAAATTGTTTTTGAAATTGTTCTGTTTCATCCCTGCCATGTTGGGAACACTGAGTCTGTTGTGTTGGCATGCAATGTTGTGTTGTGACTTGGAAGAATGGAGGCTGAGATTGTGTGAGTATGAAGAGCAGGATAAAACCACGATCTTTGCTTCTGTGTCTCTTCCCTCTACATGGAAGACAGTAGATGAAAGCATGCAGCTTTTCTTGCCATCGTAGTGTCTTGAAGAAAAGCTGGTTCAGTACAGCATATTGTTTGATTTCCTATGTTTTTTTTTTTTTTTTTTACCAAGAAAACCAAGTTCTTTAAAATTAAAAATATATTATTATTCTTGTTAGTATGTGTTAGTGTATGTATGTGCTACAACTCATATGTGGAAGTCAAAGGACATTTCTGTGGAATCTATTTTCTCTTTCCATTTTTACATGGGTTCCATCAACAGGCTTTACCCATAGAGTTACTTTTTCAGCTCCAGAATGGGAATTTCTGTTTCCAAGTTGACTTTGGCTGTTAGAAGATAGCTTGATTCTTGATAGGCTTTTCCTCTTTCAGAGAGCAAATGTAGGTTGGGTTCTAAAGTCACCCCTCCTCCTTTGCTATTTAATGAAGGTGGTAGATATGCAGTGAGCATTCCTGAAGGATCATTCATCTACCAGTCATTTTCTGAGTCCTGCTAAAGCATAAGGCATTGCGTTAGACACTAAAGAAGGATGAACTGCTTGAGGCTTTGACTCTGTAGGACATTGAATTCTTGTGGTGAAGACATGACATTTTATAAATGGATGCAACTCTAGGATATGAGCCTTTGTGAACTTTTAGCTGAGGCTTTGAAGGATGCAAAGAGTTTAAGGACAGTGGTTCATTAGAGGCAAAGAGAGCAGAATGGGAAATGCATGAGCCATGATTACTGGAGGTTTTTCTGAAACACGAAGTAGTTAAATATGGATCAGAGGTTGTATGTAAATGGGTAGTTGGAGAATGGTTAAAAGACAGGACACTGACAAAGGAGGATTGATCCAAAGTCATAGGCCAGCTTGGGTCACCTGGCAAGATCTGGCCACAAAACAAAACAAAATAAAGAAACCCAATTTTGAAATGTTCAGTTTGCTGTCAGTGTTTAGATGTTGTCTATGTTTCCTATCATGGCCACTGTCAGTTGTTCTAGAATGAGTATTTTCCCAAACCAAAACAATCAGAATCCTTTTTTAAAGGGTATTCTATTTGTACTAGAAAAAGTAAGATTTGTGTTGGTTGCCTTGGACTAATGCTTACAAATTCTTGGTGACCAAGTTATCTGCCTTTGTAGTATACTGATCAACAGAAAATAAGGCAGAGGGGGACCCAGTGAGTCACATGGGTTACTACTGTTGGTATTTACACATTTTTTTTTGCCTTTTTTTTTTGTACTCTTTGGGGGTACCTGCACCCAGCTCCCAAATACATCATACAGGGAGGTTTATTATTTGCTGGCCTTAGCTTGGCTTGTTTCTAGCCAGCTTTTCTTCAATTAACACATCTACCTTTTCCTCTGGGCTTTTATCATTTTCTTCTGTAAATCTTACTTTCATTCTTACTCCATGGCTGGGTGGGTAGCTGGCCCCTGATAGTCCTCCTCTCTTTGTTCTCTCAGTCTCTTTTTCCGTGTTTCTCCTTCTATTTATACTTTCTGTCTGCCAGCCCTGTCTATCCTAGCTCCTGCCTTGCTATTGGCCATTCAGTTCTTTATTAGGACCACCAGGTGTTTTAGACAGGCAAAGAATCACAGCTTCACAGAGTTGAACAAATGCAGCATAAACAGAAGTCACATGCCTGAAAAATACTCTTCTACCACAGGTCACAGTGTAGAGAAGAAATACAGACACAGAAATGGATTGTAACGTTCTAGAGGTCTCCTGGGTGTGTAGGAATACTCTTTCCTTTTTGTGATGGTATAGATTTATGCAGAAGCCCCAAACTCATTGAACTGGCCTAAGTAAATGGATGAATTTACTGAATTATGATGCTGGGTTAGTTACTTTTCTTATGACTCTACAAGATATCTGACACCAACAACTTAAGGAGGCGATTGGCTTACAGTTGTAGAGGGTTCAGTCCATGCTCAATTGACT